ACAGAAAAAAACATGCTCTCAGTTCAGGCTCTGTTATTTTGTATCTATGACACATGAATGTCAGATGAAAATAAATATCATCTTTCTTCAATCTGTTAGTTTTAAATTGACCATTTCTTTTGTTTATTGGTTGGTTTGTTTGGCCATGTTTTCTCATTATGCTCTTTGAGTATAATCATTATGTGTGAGGCAGGAAAGAAGTTGATAAACAGTTTTAGCTAAGTCAGGTTCACAGTAAGTAATATTCATGACTTAATTCTATTTCCTATTAAATAAAACCTCACATAAAAAAATACAGTTTGAATGAATTATTTTTCACATTTAAATGATCATTTATACGTGTAATATTTTACACAGGGGGAAAAGGCCATCAAAGTTACAGTTTAGTTGTAAGTTGTAAGTCTCTCAACACTTTAGGTTTTTAAAGGTTCCTGTGATCCTCTGGGACAGTGTGGATCCTGATCCTGCAGGAGCCGCATTTCCTGTAAGACACCATGAGTGCAGCCAGGAGACACACAGCGGCAGTGAAGCAGAGCGCTGTGGCTACAGTGATCTGTGTAGGAGGTCTGAGGGGAGACCAGGTCCCATCCTGGACTGAAGTCAACGTCTCATAGGGGTCACTGAACAGAAAACAGTTAGGTTAGTATGAGTTACAGGTTATTGTAAACCAAGAGGGGGCTTTTTAAAATCATACTTGCCTTGTGGAAGAAGATGGAAACATACTGACATCATCTGAGGGAGGAGTAATGTCAGAGTACAGGCAAAACCTCCTGTCAGGGCACAAGACTAAACCCTGATATCCTTTTATCTGGGAAGTAAAAACAGCAAAGAAATTAATAATATGACTAAATGTCAAATGAGAACTTTGGTAGGTTCTATTATATACATACCTACATCTATTAACAACCCCACTGATTTCCAGCTTTCTATATTTACACGTTGGGCTCATGTTACCTGAATTGTGCCTCCTGCTGGACAGTCCACCCACTCAGAGCCAGTGACCTGGATTTGGAACCTGTTTGGTCCAGTACACCTGTGTCTGTAACAGCGGCCCTCCACTGAGCTGTTAACCTCAACAAACTGACTCTGGTTGTAAAAGAAAAAAAGACAAGAGGAGTAAGAAGGGAATAATGGAAAGGGTTCAGAAAACACAGGCGACATGCATTCACCTACAAGCACAGGCACCTGTCTGGTCAGGTTAGAGAAGAAGCATCGGCTGTTGAAGCCCAAAATCTCCCCGCTCCAATCGTCTTCAGCTGACTGCCCAGTGTTTTCCTTTTTCCAACATTCACTCTGAAGGACAAGAGGAGGACAAAGAGTCAAAACATGGTGCCGCAATGGCAATAAAAAGCACAGGTTACAAACACATGTATAAAAAACAGATATTACTGCTTTACAAAATTGTAAATCTACAAGTCCAGATAAAATCTGGGTGATAATGTTTGGTGAAGATGATTTTTCAAGAGAGGAAATGTAACTTACTGCATTCTGGAGGGGTTTAAACACTCCACATCCCTCCAGGTATGGATCCGTCTGGCACTCCCCCTTGTGGAGGTGAAGAAAATGACACCCACGTCCACTGACAGAAAAAAATAATGGAAAAATTAGTGCTGGAAATATCATAAGAAAAGGAGAAAAGGTGACCTGTAATCCAGAGGAAAACAAACATACAGCTTTAAACGTACCTGCCGGTGCAGAAAAAGGAGGAGGAGTTGTCTTGGCAGGTTGACAGGGAACCAAACGTGGCTCCTTCACCTACAAAAACACACATTCTGAGAAATCAGGCGGTTTTATAGTTATAATTAAACTGTAGCTGCTGAATGTCTAATATTCTCCTTGTAATATCTTTGCAAACTCTAGTTTTTTATTAAAGCATTATTATTATAATCAAACAGATTTTCCACAACACACAACCCCTTACCGTCGCCCCAGACCAGACTCTGTGCCCGGCTCAGGTTGACCGTGTACCAGCCCGTGTCCTGTAATGCAGCTAAAGTGACCGGGTCGATCCGGACTGTGGTCCAGTCCTCCAGCACCGCTGCCATGATGGACCCCCTCAGGACCCGGGACTCCCAGTGAGAGGACACTCCGCCTGAAGGTGCATCCTGAGGGAAGAAGGCATGGCAGGTAAGTAGCTGGAAGTTTGACACAGGTGAGGAAAGCTGTTGTTGAAAGTGTTGGGAGAGTTTGTTGAACTCTCAGTACCAGGTTCTCCAGCGGTCCTCCCAGCTCAGGGTCAGTTGATGCCAGGTGCTTCTGCAGGGCTGAGATGACAGACGGGGTGTAGATCCTCATCTGGCCCGATCCATCAGAGTGAATCACTTTCCCCCGAGGCGAACATCTGGCACCCACTGCAGCACAAATCAGAGGAAACTCTCTGAGCATCTAATTCTTTTTTTGTACTTCTATTTCTCTGATTGTATTTTCTTCAAGAGCTGAAAAGTTTTAATCTTTATTTCCCTTTAATAGTACTTTATTCGCTTTATTCATTCAATCACTTTTCACTAATTTCAGTTGCCTTTTTTATATATCTTAAGCTACTTGTTTTATTTCGCACCCACTGCAGTATGTGGAACAACTGCACAGTATAACAGAAGAGTGTGCTACAACATATTGTTAATATAGTGACATAAAGTTGGGTTTAAAAACCTTGAGGAGAGGAGGAACAGTCTTTCCAGGTGTGGAAGAGATCTTTAGAGAACCCAAGTGCGTGGAACAGCTCGTGGATCACAGTCTGGAAAATAGATTATTCATTATAATCCGTACTTTTTCTTCCTGCTTCCCATATTCCCACAGTACCATCGTTTATTTTATTTGGTGTTTTCAGTCATTTTTAAGACAAATTTTAAACAGAAACTGCATATAATTAAAACCTTCAGGTAGCAGAGTTATTAATATAATAAATCATACCTGTACTGTAGCGTGGTGGTTGTATGCGGCTGCTGTTAATTTGTCCCTGCAGATGACCACCACCCCAGCCACAGGTCGCCCATGGGTGTCTGTCTGGCAGCGGACAGCGTAGGCCAACACATTAGGCTGAGTTCACAGAAAGAGTAAATATAGAATTAAGAAAAAAATGTAAAGTAGTGAATGATAATAAAACAGCTGCAGTAGAGATTCATGAGTACAGATCCCCATACAAAGCAGGACACACAACGTTTCACCTTGAGTTCATAAAGTTTAATGTTGCAATGCACCATTTTTTATTTCAATATATAAAGTATGTTTTATTGCTCTTTCAGTTTTCAGTCATTAATGAAGGAAGTTTAAATATTTGCTGTTGAAATAATCTGATGTGCAGCATCAAAATCAAAGCACAGTGTGTTGAAAATAATAAAATTAAATTAAAAAGACAATAAAAATCTAGAGGTGATTGCAGTAAAGCCTGTCTGTTGTTCTCTCATTTTTATAGTTTTTGTAACTTTGTAACTTCCTTTAGAAAAGTGCTGTCTGAACACGTTTTATCATTCATTGAAAACCTTTGAACTACTTCATATACAACACTTGTGGATATGTTGCACAGTAATGTCAAAGACCTCAGTGCTGTCAGTGGGTCTTCACCTCTGCTCTACACTTGTCAGTGGACTGTATGTGGAGGTACAGCAGGAAGTCGGTGTCAGGGAGTCCAGCACCTTCAGGTCTGAGAACAGTCCTGCGAGGCGAATCAGGCTCCGGGTAAATATCACATCCAGCCAGGTGATCATCTGGGATCTGTTGATGATAGAGATGATAAACACACTCCATACGTTTTCATACTTCTTTTTTTTTTTTTTTCAGCTCACCAAAGGAATAAAATAAAATCAGTCAGACTGATACTTACTGTCACATCCAGGCAGGTCTCATTCCTATAGTTGCTGTTGGCTCGACCACACCTGAAGGAAGAAAACGAACTCTTTATATCTATTTCATGACATATCGCCTTTAGTCAATAGCTTCAGTGGAAAACATGTTGATCCACTAAAAACTACTAATCATTTTTAAATGTACTTTACAGAGCATTACAGCGCAGATGTTTGCACTAATCCGCTTTACTTTATTCTCAAAAGTGATGAGGGTGACTGTTCATCAACTACAAGACATCACTGTTTGTTTAAATTGCCAAACCTCTAATTCTGGTGATTTTTTTTATGCTGTAACATTAAGAGATTTATATAATCTTCCATAATTTGGGGAGTTTGTTTTCACCAAAATTTGGAGAAAATCATTTTAGTTTCATTAATGAAATAAAAGTATGAGCGCTTCACAACAAGGAGGCCCTGGGTTCAAATCCAGAACCAGCCACCTGAGGCCTTTCTGTGTGGAGTCATGTGGTGAATGAATACAGCACACATGCAGAGAAATGAACTGTCAACAACCTAAAACAAACATAAATCTCTTTTTCAATGGTTTGTAAACTATGAATGGAAAGAATTTTAAAGATAAGCAGGTGCACATCTGGTCGAAGGAATGTGTTTGTGTACACACACACACACACACACACACACACACACACACACACACACACACACACACACACACACACACACACACACACACACACACACACACACACACACACACACCTGTTATAGTTGGTAGTTCTTGAATTGCTCCAGAGAAACTTGCAGTATTTGTTGATGTCTCTGCTGAGCAGCAAAGAACCCCGTGCTCTGTTCACTGTTAAGGTCAATAGTTGATATACATTAGTGTCTTTATATGAGTGAGTGTATGTATGCATGTGTGTGTGTGTGTGTGTGCGTGTGTGTGTGTATCACCTGATAATAAAGAAGACACCATCCTCACAGCCTCTTCCACTGCTGACATCATTCTGTCTTTCTCAGCGTCCGATAGGTTGCCGCTCTCTCTTGGAATCCAGGTGTGGATCCTGATTGGCTGTGGAGAAGCAGGAGCGGGCGATGTGGAGAGGCCACGCAGAGGTGACCTCCTCCGCCCTCGATGACTGGCGTATTGCCCCGTCGGAGGTCTGAGTCTGGGCTTGTTGGGTGGGCTGTCTGGGTGCATGGGTGCAGGTCTAACCTCATCAACCTGAGCTTGAACCTCATCAAAGATGCACCTCTGCAGGGCTCCAGGGAGCTCAGCCACCACCAGTACCACCAACATCCCCACCCAGAGTCTCTGGGATGGAGGTAAAACCATAATTACAGCTGTAACCTATTTAAAAGTGACATGAGGACGATGGTGAGCTGTTTCACCTTCATCTTTATGATAGAGAAGAGGTGCCCTTATATCAATAAAAATAAAATAACATTACTCTACTATTTTAATTTATATACCGAGATGTAAAATAGTGTAAGGTTCCAAATTCCCTCTATATTTAATATTTCATGATTAAAGTGAATTTAACCCTCAGGTTTTATTGACCAACAGTATTTACAGAAAATACAACAGTTAACTGAATGAATTAAATAAACGTGTTGTAGAAACGTTAACTCATGACTTTAGTATTACCAAAATCCTCTCTGAGTTCAAAGTTGAGTTTGCCAAACTCAACAGAAAATATGGAACCATTGTAAATGAAGATAATGTAAAATATACCCAAGCCATGTTACATTAGTCTGTTTAGCTTTCTTGTTTACTGGCCTATTGTAAATCACATTCAATATTATGCATTAGCTTAAATGGTTCATATACTGTAGCATATCATGTCAAATTAGTTTTCTTTTTTTCCCCCAATGAGAAAAAAATGCATATATATGTTACACCTTTGATAGATTATCAGGTCACTTTAAAGTAGATATAATTTACTGGACTCACAGCATGATGCCCACTTTTCTACAAACATTAAAATATACATTAAAGAAAAACACACCAAGTTATTTATTTTTTATCATAATCTCCCAGACTAGATCAAAGATTATCGTGGTAAGTTTTTATCCATGTGGTCCAACTCTGCAGTAAGAAACTAGGATAGCATGTAGAGCAAAACTCCCCTCCAACAATCACTTTCCTACAGCATGAACCTATCACTAACATTAAATGCAGTCATTAGAATTACCTTGTTGTTCGATGCAACATCTCTCCATGAAGTCTCAGTGTTCAGCATTCACCTTTTATCCTGTGCTCCCGAGTGACGATCTCAACTTCTGCCTTCTTTCCAGGAAAACCTCTGAAGAGCTCTTTCAGGAGTCTGTGTGAATTTCCACAGGACTTTTGAATACAAAGCACAAAGCAACAACTCTTTCATCTCCGTTACTGAGGTGTCAGCCGTCCCTCACTTACTAAAATGTCAACACAATACACGAAACCTAAAAGTGCAAATCGTTTAATCTGAGCCACATTTTTACTTATATACAGTGAAGTTGACCCTAATAAATCATAAAATCACTTTTTCTCTTATTTACCTCATTACACTGCAAAATTTAAAACTTCTGGCTACTCCACATTGACCCTAATACATTCAACAAAGCAAAAACAAAAAAAACAACTGAAGAGAAAAAGGATAAGTAACTTGCTGAAATAAAAACACCATAAAATGTACAACAATACAAATGGCACACCACGAGTCTGTTGTGTCAAAACGTGACAGAATGCGATCACTTCCCCTCAAGGGCTGAAGATTCAAGTTGAGGTTATTTTGTAATTTCGGGGCCCCTTTCACCACTAGGGCACCTCATCTTCCTGTTCAGACACACACACATACACATACACACACACATACACATCCTAAAATCAGGCACCAAAGAGATTGTCTTTTGACACATTTGCTTTTTGTAGATTACATACATTCACTTAGGAAGTGTACACGTGTGTGTACTTAAACACGCGGTTATGTTGCAATTATTGTGCACTAAAACAGGGGACCCAAAGAGTTATTGCCAGCTTGCAGAGTAGACATGCATCTCTTTTCATGTTTTATAGTACAGTCACTGACGTGTGGATGCGTGCTGTGATGTAAGGGAAACGTGCCTCTGTGTGTTACGTGTGCAGTGTGGGAATCTCAGGAATCATCTCAATCACCTCCAGCAATCTACAGAAAACTCCTCAAAAGGCACTTAAATAGGGGAAATTATTTTTTCTATAATATCTGTGATATAACATGAGACTGGATGCAAGTGGCAGGAGTATGTCGGGACAATCCACGTCTACAAACATACTCCACTGTCTATGTAAGACTAAAATGCAAATGCATTCACACAGTTGCAGTCATACAAACACAATAGTTTCCATCATAAAAACTCTAATCATTCAATCTGACAGTAGCCTGCCTCAGTATCTGGATAGGGAAGATTCTTCTGTGCAAAAGTTTACCTTCAATGTGCAGCCCAGCATTAATTAAGTGCACAACCAATACTCACCTACACTTACTCTCCAACATACATCAGCCATGCTTTTCGTCTAAACCGTGTACTTTCTTTAGGAAGTCTCTAGAAATGGTCAAATACTTGATTCCATAAGTCAACAAATCCAAATCAAAGCAATTTCAAAAAGGCACCAGACTTGCACAGTGAGGGTGAGTCTCGCTGTGGGCCACTCCTGTGCTGAAGTTCAAACAAATGTGGAAAGACTGGGTTTCAGTTATTAGTAGGTAAAGGAGATAAAGAAGAGGTGGTGTGGGTTACTGGGCGGGTGAGGAAATCATTCAGGTGAGCATGGGCACATCATCCTCTGAAGTGTTGTCTTCGGACAGGGGGATAAGCAGCACCTCGTCATCTGAAGAGGACGAGGAGAAAGAAGGGGAGGCGGAGAGGGGCATGGAGTTGGTCGAGGAGGAAGAGGGCGAGGCTCTGAAGAGGGAGATACTCAGGCCCAGCGTGTGGAAGATGGAGGCCAGAGAGGGGCTGCTCGGGGGGACGGTGACAGGAGGAGACTGTGGGGTGGCCGGGGGTGGAGCTGGGGGAGCGTACGGAGGTGGAGGCGGGGAGGCGACAGGTGGCGGAGACGACACTTCCTGCTGCTGGTGCTGCTGCTGATGCTGCTGATGCTGCTCTGACTGAGCCAACAGGCCAAGTTTCTGAGGCACCGGCCGGTTGACCGCCTCCACAGCCGACGAGGAGCTCGTGGGAGTGGAGTGAGCTGGTTCCTGACCGGAGGGAGCGGCGTCTGACTGCTGCTGGCTGGAGCTTGATGCCTGAGTCGGCCTGGAGGGAGGTCTGGGGATTAGACCCCACCTCCTCATGCGGCGAACAGCCCGGCGGACAAATCGGGGTCTGCGTCTGCGATGTGGGGAGCTGGCGGCATCCTGACGGAGGAGCTGGAGAATTCCCCTCAGAGAAAGTGACGAGGTCTGGCGTGAAGGAAGACGTACAGAAAGAGAGAGTGGAAAAGGGCAAATCAGTCAAAACACCTTCTACAACTTGATTTCCGACAATGGTATTAAAATCAAACTAGTAAGTTTCTTATGAACAAAACACTGATCCAAGTTCAAGTCGGGAGCTCGGGCATATCCCATTAGACATCACACGCTTTGGTTTATACAGTTAATCCCTCCTCCTCGATCACCCTGGCTGTCCTCCCTGGCTAATAATAAAGCATTTTAATGTGAACTTGCACGGTGACAGCACATTAGCATTTACCTTAACGCTCTTCCTTCGTCAGCTCAAAGCCTGCTGCCGGGGATTAATAAGACTAAAGTGGAGCACATGACTTTAAGACCGATGACACAAGGGCGCCTGTCGACTGTATTATTCTCAGTGCGGCTGAAGAGTCAAAGAATGTGCAACTCAGCAATGTGGCCTCTTTTCCCATGAATAAATATATTATCAGTGCCTGCCATCTTCAGTTTGTAAGACAGTGTTTTCATTCTCTCTCCTTTCTTTCAAACTTTAGAGCATCAAATTAATTTGTAATGGTCTTTTGAGGCTCAAGGGGAGGTCTAAGGAATTAACACAGCTTACTTCAGGGGTTTGATTTCCAGTGTGGCATGCTTTCACATTACTGTCAGGTGCTTTAAATTTAAGTGCCCAACAAATAGGCCTATGTCAGGATTAACAACTGGATACTGACATTAAAAATGCACAACAAGACTCAAATCCAGCTTGCATGTACATGAACTAAGGAGTGCAATATATCACAGTGGACCAAATATAAGACAACCCTGATTTTTACAACACAGGTTTTTGGAAAAATACTTAGAGTAGGAGATACTTTCCAGTTAGTCCTGCAAGGAGATCTTTTCAGACTGTTTTTATTTGCCTTTGACCACCACAATCTAAATCGGTTCATCCTTGAGTCCAAGTGAATGTTTGTACAAAATTTGAAGAAATTCCCTGAAGGCGTTACTGAGGTATCGCGTCCACGCGAATGGGACAGACAGACAGTCAAAACCAATCAGAACAGAGCTGCAAACCATCATGGCGTTACTAAGATATTGTGTTCACGAGAAGAGAACAGAGCAGTTATGATCTGAAACGGCTATGGGATTATTGATTTATCTGACACTGATTTCAAAAAGCTCATGGCCATCCTTTAAGCAGCTGTTTATCCGAGTGATGCTCTTCTCTCTCACCTCGTTGGGGTTTTCTGTGGGGAAGTCCTCCACTGGGGGGATGATGCCCTGGGCAATCAGCTGTCCGTAGGACGGAGGAGCCTGCTGCTGGATCAGCTCCGCTTCCTGACGGCTGATTGGAGCAAACAGGCTGCAAGAAAACAGACACATTAAGATGAGTTCGTTCACACCAACTACCAGCGTGTTTTAGTTTTTGTTGTGGAGGTTCTAGAGACAAACTGCACGTGGGAAGCCGACTGTTTACAACAGCAAACTGGTAGTTTAAGTGTCTTATCAAAAACAGTGAGTACGATGTGTACTGGCCGTGCTGTGGGAGGTTCTGAGGTGTTTGAGAGGCGCTGTCTGGTAGTGTTGGCAGCAACTGAAGGTAGCGGTTAGGAAAACAACGTCTGCCTCTTGTGACTCACTATGTCAGATTATCAACACAAAACCTGGCTGAAGTAGTCATGAAAAAGCTCATTATGCTTGTTTAAAAATAACCAAAATAATCTCCGAAGGCTACAATATCTGGAAAGCAAACATGTCAGCTGAACTGGTGAAACGACTAAAGGAAAACAGCATAAACTGCAGAAGAGGTAATATTAGAAAATGAAGACATATGCTTGTAATTGAGATAAGATGTACAAAACAGTTACCTGTATTCCCGTGTCCTGAGCGAGTACAGTTTGCAGGTGCAGCCCATGGCGATCACCAGCAGGAGCCCACAGACCAGGCTGCCAACCGTTGCCGCGGTGATGACCTTGCGGGGCAGGATGACGGTGCAGTTGAGCTCGTCTGTGCCGTCCTTACAGTCCACCTGGCCGTCACAGCGCCAGCTCTCAAACACACACCTGCAGACAGCACAATGGGCCCGTTTGTGTGTTAGAGTATGCAGGAATATTATGAGTGAGAGATTCTGTTCCACATGAAAATGCATCCTGAGACCTGGGGGGATAACCCGAAATAAAACTAAAGAGATTGTGAACCATGATTATGGCACAAGGCAGACACTGTAATAGTGTATTAGAGTGTGTAAATGGTATTATGGATATTTAAATGGTATTTTAATAGTTCACCATGAATCAAATCTTGTTCACAATGTAGTGTTGTGCCTCTTTAGCCGAGATGATGTCTGTTATCTGTCAACAATGTTTGGTTGTTTTTGTTATAAAGTACAGTTTTTGGTATTATACATGCTGTGGAGTAACCACTCTAGATTGGCCACGGTACTCCTTCCCCCCCCCCATTCTCAAGGTTAAAGTCACACATTTATTACGCTGAATGCAACAATAAATTGAAAACAGGCACATATTCCACAATCTCAGGCACTTCTTTTCATCTATTGAATATTTACTGAATCATCACACACTGTAACATACTGAATTTATGTTATGGTATGTTTGTTTTTTACTCATTATGCTCCCAGAAAATGTACGTCTTACTTCAGTGCAACACAACAGTCAAGCCACAAAAACTCTCACATGTTCAGGTTTCTGCTCACACCCTCTGATTCACACTTATGCAATAACTAAGACACACCTAGCACTTAACTAACCTGACCACAATGAAGACACGCACCATTTGACAAAAACAGACTAATAGTAGCTGAACAGCTACTAAATGGACCTTTGAGAGAGACTGTTTTGTGAACTCCTGTTTTCAAGGTCGAGAATAAGCTTTAAATATTAACTTTTAACAGCTAGAGGTGAAAAGGCCTAGAGATTAAAGGTTTGAACATCTATAGCTCCATGGCAACTGAGCAAAATCAATCTGCAGAAGCCATTTGATATGGTCAAAGACCTGGAGGTGAGATTGTTTCATTAATTGTTATTTCCAAGATCAAGAATGAACTCTAATCTTTCATTTTAGCTCATGCAAGAGCACATAAAATTGGGGAACAGCAATTAGACAGCTGTCCTTTCCAATCAGATAACCAGGTTTTCAGTCTGTAGGAAAACACACACGGGCAAAACACACCTGTCACTGTCGCAATGAAAGGTCCCCGGCTGGCACACGGTGCAGTCCCTCTCGTCGCTGCCATCAGCGCAGTACAGCTGGTAGTTGCATCTCTCTGTGACTGGATAACACACCGGCCTGCCAGCGAAGTGGCTGGATGCCACTGCCCTCTGTCCTGCCACTCCACAGGCAAACTGGTTCGGACTGCAGCCTCTGCATCCCTCCTCATCTTTCCCCGTCTCAGGACAGTCCCATTTCCCATCGCAGCGTTGCTCCTGGGTGAAGCAACCTCCTGATGCTCCCCCACACCGGCCTTCCCATGGAGGGCAGTAGCTCCCAACGTGGAATGTGGCGTTGAACCCACTTCCCTCTGAGCCGAGAAGTGTCTCGTACGTCATCGACAGTAGGCCAGTATGAGATTCCACTTGTACTGATTTATAATTGGAGGCGCTGGTGACCTGTCAAAACGCAGGAAAGGAACATCACGTTACCATAGAGATTGTTTCACAATACTGTGAAAAAAAAAAAAGAAAAAAAGGATTGTTTGGACTGGAAATGTCTGAATAAATGAAGTTAACTCACAATTTTTATAATGTCTCCGTTGCCTTCCTTTCTGTTGTAGATGGTGAGTCTATCACCGGGCCCCAGCACCAGCTGCTGCAGGTCCAGTCTGAGTGGCCTGGAATCCTGAGGGTCCAGAGTCCAGACACAGTACAGAGCAGGACCCCGAATGGCTGGAGGGGAGAAGGTCCCGTAAAAGGTCTGGAGGAGGCCTCCACAAGGCCACTCAATGGGAGTGGGTGTCACAGCTAGCTCCTTATGAGTCAGTGGCTGCTCTTGATCCACCTGGGCCTCCTCCTCCTCCCTCTCCTTCAGCAGATCCCACAGATCAGACTCAGTATCTATCTCAGCTGACCTATCTGGGCTCTGTGTTTTATCTGCGGCCTTATGTCTCTCTGAGTCATAGTTTTTCTCTGCATACATTTCCCTTTCTGTCTCTTCTGCCAGTGTGATGCCATGTTTTGGGGGTTCTGGGGTTTCCACATCTGCATTGCAGTCCCGTTCATCGGTGCCGAGGCCAGGACCTTCAGCAAGACACTCCACCTGGCCATTACAGCGCCAGGACAGGGGAAGGCAACGCCCCCCCAGGCATTCAAAAGACGTCTCTGGGCAATCACCCGAATCTGAATGTGTAGAAACAGAAGGGGATGAAAGGAATAAAGATCTTTTGACCATAACAAGAACTTGCCGCAGAAACGCTGAGACATTCGTTTCCTCGACAAGTTACAAGAGGACAGCACTTAGCAAATGCTCAAAACGAAAGATGTTCAAGAAAATAAAATCCCCATGCCATCATACCTCTGGCATAGCTCAACAGAAACGATGACACAGGGAACAGATGTGGGAGGAAGTGGTGCATCACTGTAATATTTCCCCCTGGGAATTCCATGGGCGGTGGCAGCTTGGAGCCACAAAGGACAACCGGCTCACCGCCAGCTGACGATTTAATAGACACCCATTCCTTCCTACAGCGTGCTGAAAACTGTGAAAAGCTGAAAAAAATATTTGAAATGAAGCACCAGCCTTATTTAAAGAGAAAGTGCAGAGTATAAATTGTCAACTGTCTGAAATGCTGTCATATAATTTATAGTATTTGTTTTTTAAATAACCTTTGCGTCAGACCTTCCTGCCTGATTAGTTTATCCTTAAAACTTTCTCAATTAATTTTCCAGACTGATTTTTCCAGAAGATTTTATTCATATTGCCAACTTCTAAACCAGCCATAATACATTACATCCTAACTACAGAAAATGATCAGGCAAGCTCAAGCTCTATTCATTAATTATAGAAAGACAATCAATATAGTGCGCAACCGGTCTGCAAATGTTTACATGATATTCACCTTTATTAAGTACATATTTATCCTGGGGAATACTCCATATCTGATTAACTCTGATAGTAATATCATGTGTATCTGGTATTTCAAATTCCCTCAGCAGCTGTACCTGAGAACGACGGGTTCTCCTTCCAAACCCTTGATGACCCAGCAGTCATAGGTCGAGCCGAAGCGGTAGGACCAGCTGTGGTAAGCAGAACTCCTGATCTCTCCCACTTTGCTGTCTAAGACTTGAAGGGAATGCCCACAGTGGGCTGAGACAAAGAAGCAACGGTTCAGAAGTCAAATATGTTTGACGCTTCAAGTGTTATTTTATGGTAAAAAACCCATAAGCCTCTCCTAACACCTATTTTCAAACTACAGTTGGAAATAGTTTAGAGAAATAGTTAAGCAAGTGAAAGTTCTGTTAAATATCATCTGCTCAGGCTGCTTTTATCATCACTATGACACATTGTAGGTTATAGGAAAGTATGAAACAAGAAAGTGACATTGAAAAATCCTTTCCTGACATCCACAGACACAATATGAGATCGAGTGCCGAGTAATTGTCTCCTTACCAGAGGCGAGGGCAGACTCAAAACGGCTGCATGCTGCAGAGGAAACAAGCAAAAACAGAACAAGTCAGGCCAGTGTTTAATCACCACGGCTGACAGAGATCATAAATGTGAAAACATGACCTTTGCCTCATGAACATTTAAAGTAAGCCCCTTAGAGAGATACACACAAGGGCAGAGATGTACAGTATGTGTATACACTCACCTATTATGGTGAAAACCAGGAGGGCACAGATGTTGTAAGTGACTGTCATTGTGGTAATGCTTCTCCTCTAAAAAGTTGGAAATTATAAAAAGAACTGAAGACTAAAAAAAGGGTAAAAAGAAAATGTCAGAGAGGCGCCATCTTAGCAGGTTTTGTTCAGGAAGACTTCACCTGCAAAGTGAAAGACAAAAAGATGAATGAAAGATGTGCTTGATCTAGTTGTCAAAAAGTAGTCAAACTTTTAGCCTCGTAATATTATCACTCACTGACTTATATCAATCATAGATAAGTCGGCTAACACATACATCAGAACAGTGGGTTAACAACAGCCTTGTTTGATAGAATTTGATAGTTACGTTTAAGGCTGAAACAATCGTTGCTTTAAAAAGGAAACAAACAAAAATCACAATATCTCTTTCTAAAATCCTCACCACCCCCTGCATCTCGAAAAAACAGAACACATGATACCATAGACATGAAAAAAACATTTAAGGTGGCTTTGGCTTCTCTCCACCTTTATACACCGGTGGAAAACAATTAGTCCATTAATAGATTAGTCAAAATACAGATAATTAAGCTGCAACAATTTTGATAGTTGATAACCTGTATTAAGTAAGTTTTCAGCAAAAATGCCAATAATTCTTCTTCAGCTTCTCAAATGTAAATATTTGCTGATGTCTTAGTCTTACTAAATATCTTTGTGTTTTGAACCATCGGTTGAACAAAAAGAAGCAGCTTGAACATGTTAACCCGAGCTGTGGGAATTCATAACAGGCATTTGTTTTTCACATTTTGCATAACAAATGATTAGAAAATAATCAGAGGATAAACCAATAAGAAAAACAATTGTTAGTTTGAAAGTACCAATATCAACTGTTAGACCTCTACATAAGAATAACACTTTAATACTTTTATTCATATATTTTAATAAGTCTTTCTTACTTTATTTCATCTTAATTCAAATAAATTACCTAAACTCTATTTTGTAAATTTCACTAGTGGTCTCCCTCCTTCCTCCTTTTTAGGAGCAATTGATTTCAGTTGAAATAAAAGTTGATTTTCCACCTATTCCGATTATCTGCTCCTACGTTATACATTACAAAGACATACTTATTAGCCTGATGAGAAAATATAAAATGAGGTAGTTAACCCAGGAGCAATTGTTGTAGCCCAACACAAGTAAGTACTGCAATATAAGTGCTCATAATTACGATTTTAACCATTCAATAACGTTATATATCCGGGCAAGAAATTACCGTACGAGTATGTTCTTGAATGCTGAGGTTATTTTGATCTCTAACACAATGTTTACACGCCCACACACAACACAACACAACGATTTCCTTCCCATAAGCCTCTCAACAATGACGCCAGGACCGCCACCATTTCCGTGATAAAAATAAACTGTTTTAGAGTCTTTCTATTATTCCTACTGAAGTAAAAACATTAGATATTTCCAGTTCAGGTCGATTAATAGCTCATGATGTTCCTTTCGAGTTTAGACTATGTCCTGAGATAACGCTGCGAGTTAGTTTCGGTTTGGAGCAGGAGGAGGGAGCAGCTGCTCGCGTTCTTTAGAGGTTTAACAGCTAGCTTCCTGGCAAGCTAACCGCTAACACCCTGCCATCTCTCTTCGTTTGTTCGCTTCTTCTAGGCCCCGACACCGCAAGAAAACGGCTTCCAGCACGATACTTGGTAGTTTAGTGCCCAAATAAATCATAACATGTAGGTCACACACGGCAAAAAGATAATAAAATGGTTTTAAAAAGGAGAGAGAGAGAGAGAGGAGCCGAGTACGTTACCATGTCAGTCGGCCTTTCTTGTTGACAAGTTCTGAGCGACTTCCGTATATTTTAGCTCATGACACGAGGGGCGGGGCTTGTGATGTCAAATTGTTTTTCTTTCTTTCATTCATAAAAATATTCCTTCAAATCAAATGTTTTAGACTTAATCTTAATTAATCCTCCTTATTTTAAACACTACAAGTTCGTGTATTTATACAGGCCGCGGCTAATATCTAAAAGGAGTCTAAAAAGTGAAATGTTTATTTCTTAACACAAGGTGTCAGTGTCATACATCACTTTTAATTCACAAAAATACAACAAGGCCTTCCAGGACTTCTCTCAAAGACTAAGAGTAAGTACATTTACTTTCAAGTACTGTGTTTCTTTATTTTGAATACAGTGTTTTCATTTTATGTAAATCTATACTTAAATTTCTGTAACAATAGAAGAAATATTCAGATTCTTCACTTAAAGATCCCAATCAGACATGTTTTAAGACATAATACAGCAGTGTGGGAAATTTAATCATGCACTGTGCTGAAGTATTTGTAAGTAATTAATTTAAGGTAAACACAAGAAACTTGTGCTACAAGTTTCTTGTGTTTACCTTAAATTGAAGATTAGACAGGACAGGATTCTTTCCTGCCTCATTATTCATGACCCCTCCAGATCTATCTTGTGACCTTTGAAGGGGCTTCAACCTATTGGCTGGGAACCAATTGGTTAAACTACCTAACAGTGTATACACTATCTGTAGTTCAAACTAGTTACTTTGACCAGCTACAACAGTAAGATGCTACTTGTGCATTGAAGTATAAAAACTCAAATAGTGTCACATGGGTCACATCTAATTTTACTTGTACTGGAATACTTTTCGATTGCTTTCTTAGCTCTTTTGCAGAGTAATTCAATACTTCTTCCTTCTGCTTTGAAAATTACTTTGTGTCTGATATGTTTTTTCCATTAAAAAAAGTTCTATTACCTCATTAAAAATTCCTAAAACTACATCTAGGTCAACTCCTCCTCTCTCACTGAAAAATCCAGAATCTATGAATATGCAAATATTTTTCATTTCAAACGTTGAAGTGCGGGGCTCAAGATGTCTCCTGCTTCCATTCTCAGTGAATGTGCACTGGAGGTTTCAAGTTTCCATATCACACTTGTGTAAGATGCATATTGCACCATGAGTGGCTCCAAACTAGTTGTGATGTCACAAAATCATCTCGCTCGTACACACCTTAAACTCAGATTCAAAGTAAATTGAGTGAAACTTTCCTTCTCCAACAGCTGAACGTGAAACCACATGTGCACGCACAGACATTATCCTACACAGGGAAGGTCAAACATACAGGTGGAGTTAGTATAAACAAAACATATTTTCGAGTGTGGGAGACTTTATGTAAAATTGTACTTTAAAAACACTGCAAAGAGTAAAGTGTTATCAGCCAGTACTCATTATCTTTTAAAAAAGTACATTTCTGAAAGTTTAGTGCATTTTTGTGATAATAATACTTTTATACTTTTCTAATTGTACCTAACTCCACCATATTATAAAGTTTTATCCCACAATATTTCACAGCTGCAGTTTCTTTTCAGATTAGGATTTTCAGTGCATAAAAAACATGAGATTAGTTTGTGAAATTTAAAGCTTTGATGTACGAAAACTAATTAACAGTATAAAAAGTTGTTAAAATGATGCCACATTGACACTGTCATGAGCAATACAGATAACACTATGAATGCTGCCATTTGTATTTGTACTTTTACTTTTAGTTACTTTAAGTACATTATTATGACAGTACTTCTGCACTTTTACTAGCCTGAGTGAAATTTTAAATGCATAACTTTTACATGTGATAGAGTACTTTTATAGTGTGTACTTAAGTAAATTATCTTAAAAAAATCCCAGTGCTGCTGCCACCACTGGTGATATCTGTATCATTAATCGTTACGCAGCTATGAAAAAAAAAATGACGTCTGCACATCTGGAGGAGGACCCAGAGGAAAACCCATCCACCTCTCTCTCTCTCTCTCTCTCTCTCTCTCTCTTTCTCTCTGACCACGTCCACACACTCTACAGACAGTCCCACTATAGGAAAAAAAGAAGTCAAACTATGAAGCTTTAGTTAAGTTAACAACAGCTGAAGATTTGTGGCAGCCAGCTGATGCCTGTAGCATTGTGTTGGTTGTTTTTCCACTCAGCTCTGACGGAGTCGCTTTTGTGTGTCCATGCGGGATCCGATACAGTTTTCTTGCCACGTTTTTTAAAAACGGAGTTGCATCGATCGACATTGTTTTGATTTTTTTTTTTTCTCCCTCCCTTCGTCGTTTTTCTGTCAGGACGGCGGGACTCGTGTTGTAGAGAGTTAGTTTTCTCAACTTATTTCTCTTTGGGGGGGCGGTATAGTTTGCAGATACCAGAATGCTGCCCCAGCTCCTCACAGTGGCCTGTGGTCTCTGCTGCTTTGGTTTTACCTCCGTCACTGCAAATGTCCTAAAAGCCGAGGTAAGTGCCATGAAAAACAGGATTCATTTACTCCTTCAGACCATGCATCGGCATATATGTAGATATTTGTTCACATATGCAATGTGTCATGCTATAATGTGTCAACAACGTGTGTTTTTTTGCACTGTATCCATTTTCTGAGGTTTTCCACAATATTCCCGCTGTGTGCTGAACATTTAAAAGATTCTGCAGTAGAAAATATTAACTTTACACCAATCTTATTTTATTGTATTTTTGAGCTTGGAGATTGTAGTTTAGCTGTTATCTGTATTGTTTAATAGGTTTTCTCTAATCTTTCAGTGGCCAGGGAGGAACTGTTTATATTCCCCTCATGTTTATTCTCCCTCCCTCAAACATTCCTGATCTCTGTTTTCCCTCTGCTAAGAACTGTTTAAAAGAGTCCAGCAGAAAATGTAACGAGAGATGAAACTTCATCCAGACGAAAAAAAAAAGTCATGATTCTAAACTTTAGTGGTTTTTAAAGGAGGAGGGGGAGATCCAACCGTGCAGGGGCAGTGTGCAGTTTAGAAAAACCTCAGCTGAGCTGCTTTGTTCTGAGAGAAAGGGGGTAGTGGAGGTGGTGGTATGGGAGGAGTAGGGGTGGGGGTTTCATCCGCCTGTGTAGACTGTACAGACAGGAGGACGGGAAGTTGGTCTGCCTTCACAACAAGCTGGACTTGAGGGGCTCCATCTGGGAGACGTTATAGGCCTCAGGCGTCGGGCTGTGAAGAGACACTAAAGTGCAGTTTAACTCTCATCTAAACAACAGATTTTGTCATCAGGTCTCGTGCAGCTTTGTAAATGATTGGTTACGAGCACCCCCGGGCGCCTCAGGTCTCGGCCCATTTTAGATTTGCTCTAAATGTAGTCCTTCATCCCTGAGCGTCCCAGTTCACCTGGTAGATAACATCAATAATAACCAGTGGTTACAAGTGCATGGAAACATAGAGGGTGTTTAATGTGATCATTTACAGCACCACATCAGAAATAGGTCTCATTCAGTCAGGAAGTGCAGAAACGAGGTATTTCTCTGCCACAGGAAATTGATTCACAGAGCAAAAAGTTCATTAATTACAACTGTAGAATAACAAAAAAAAGAAACCCACCAAAGACACACACGCAAGAGTCTGAGCTGTAGTTTTTAGGAGGGCAACAGGATGCATGAAGAAGTGAAGGAGGACTTTAGTCACTGACCACAAGTTGCTGGCGTGTGAGTCAAGCCAGACATGGTGGATAACTCAGAGAGTCAGACGCCACAGGCCGCTGCCCTCCTGCGGCGAACACACCGACACAGTGATGAACGTCTGTAAACAAAGTGAGAAAACATGGCTGTTTGCTGCAGCGTCATCTTTAGCAGCTGCGGGATAATATACCTCTTCCACCCCGGCGGCAGCGTAGAGACGCATCAGATCTAAAGTGAATGCCTGGTCTGTTGATGCAGGTTGTGTCGCACTGTTTTATCTCAGTGTGAAACGCTGCTGCGATGCTGTCAGACGTATCACTCTGTCCCGATGCAGAAAGAGGATAAGCTTTAATTATGGCTTCAGGATGACATCACCTGAGAGCTGCATATGAACCCTGTGATCAACAGATAGACTTGTCTGTGTGCTGGGGAAAGCAGACTAAACTGGGGACAGAAACAAAGACAAAATAAGAACTTCATTAGATGATGTTTAATTAACATTGATGGAGTTCAGTCCTGGGGGGGGGGTTGGGAGGTTTGAGCAAGCAGAACTCAGATGGAGAAACTGACCTTTGAGGAATTTTGTGGTTTATCAGTGTTGCTCAACATCTGAACATCCCGCTCTGACTTCACTTTGACAAACTAAACCAACTTAATCCATGTTGAGGGAAAAGAGAAGCTCCACCAACAGAGGAATAAGACCTCAACAATTCTCTGAAAATGAAACCACTTCTGCTAAAGTCGAGTACCTTTGTACCTTCCCACATCTGTTTTCATTCTCCTTTTTTTTCCTTTTTTTTTTTTTTTTTTTTGCCTTGTCTCACATTTTTTACTTAAATAAAATGCTTAGTTGGACCTTGTGAGTAAAGGAAGTGGGCAGCAATGAAAACAACAGGGTCTAAAACAGGATCTCTCCATATCTGGCAAAAAAACATTTTGGAGATTTCCCGTTGCCGTCCGCAGACACATGTCTCGTGATCGCAGCGGAGGGTTACACATCTGGTCAAAACACATCTGGTTCCAATTCTCTTTATCTCGAGTAGAGTCGCTGTTGATGTAGCATCAAAGAAGAGCCTTGCTCAGGATCTGCTCTGACAGGCAGCGGCTGTCACTTATGAAATGTCAAAAACAATCAGCTGGATCGGCCTTAATGAGAAACCGATGGACTTCAAGGGAGAGAGGGAGCTTATCTTTGCTCTGCAGCTAAGTAAATGGTAACAACCTTGGTCACAAAGAAGACATCAAAGAGAGAAAGTTTCCACCGTGATGTTATTAAGTGTAGAGTCGTGAGTCTCAGGCAAGATAGATACATTTCTACCATAGTTTGGACCGAGATTTACATTTGGACTGTTTTCGTCTCAGCTGCTCAGCTGCTTGGGTTTGACTGAAGTCGAAATCTGGGAGAAAGACATTAACTGAGTACTTTTACTCAAGTACTTCATAAATACATATAAAATGGAAATACAAGTACCTCATAAACTGTACTTAAAGTTTATGAGGTATTTGTATTTCCATTTTATATGCAGTACTTCGCCTCTGTACTTTTGACCACACAACACTAATCTTAGTTTCTACATGGAACTAAAATAAATGACATCTGGAGCTTATAGAATAAAATGTATTGTTTCATGATCATTTTCATAACAGAGTTCAAAGAGTTGACGAAAACAATCGCAGCTCAATGTCTACTTACTAGCTTTTCCTGGAACTTTCAGCTGCATCTCGTGGCCTTCATCAGCAGCTCGAGTTTACTCAGTTGTCGTGGAGATGGCTCAGTTTTCATCACATGACCCAAGTTATAGTTATAACTATATAGCTGTAGCTCCAACTCAGCAGAATGATGTCAGTGGATCATTAATGATGAGACTAATAAATGGTTCTTCTTAATGAGTACTTTCACCTTTGATACTATAGAATATTTTGATGTTAATACTTTTTCTTTTTTTTTACTTTTTTGCATAACTTAGTACTTTTACACTGTGGTATTAGAGCATCTAAATACTTAATGCTCAAGTGTCTGTGAAACAAAAGCCCAAGAGGTTGTGTGAATTTAATGGTCACAAATCATAAATTTGCCTGAAAGTGCTTCAGAACCTAAAGTACTGCAAACCGCCTCTATCCTTTGAGCTTCAGTTCAGATAAAAACTCCCCCAAACAAGCCTTCAACAGGAAGCAATACCAACATGTAAACATAGTCCATCACAGGTGAAAGTAAGGCAGTTAAACATTTACAAAAGTCAAACTTTGTCAGCACAAGGCACTTCAGTATCAAAAGTAAAAGTACTCATCGTGCAGAAAGGATCATTACAAAGCAGGATTTACCAGCCAAGTGGTTTTTCTTTACTACTAAGCCGTTCCAATTGTCCCATTCAGTAATTTATAATGGTAAATAAATGATGCAATGTATATTAATATAGTATAAGTATATACGTATACCTTAAGTGAAGTTTATTCTATGACTATCAATGATTTTTTTAGATAAGATCCTTATATATTTTGTACATGAAATATTAATCTGCAAAGTAACTAATAGCTACAGCTTTCAAGTGTAGTGTAAAAAGTACAGTGCAGTCTGAAATATAGTGCAGCAGCAAAACAAACATAAAATGCAAACACTCAAGTAAAGTACAAGTACCTCAAAACTGTCATGTGACCTGTCCTACAGTGCAGTGAAGATTTCTTTAGAGGTATTTGATAGTGAACTGTTGGCAGGCATCAGTGCAATAAGGTTTCATGAAGCAGAGTGAAACCATCCAGTGGTTGTATTATTTGACCTGTTTGACCCAGTAAAAGTGTAAATGTAGAAAAAATATCACACGGCGCTGGTGTGAGTGCGAACTGAGTCTGAGAAGCCAAGAAATGAAGGTGATGTGAGATTCAGCCCCTCATGAGCAGAATTCTCTGTTTTTTCCGTTGGCAACGAGCGAGAGGAACATCTGACTCAGTCCCTCAAATTTAAATTCAGCCATACTCCTCTAACTCTCCTCTCTCTCCCTGCTTTTCTTTTACCACTCTTCCTTCTAATGTCTTTACCTCTCCCTCTCCTAATGTAACTCTGCACTTTAGATCATCTTCTGCTGTACTTCACCCTCTTGTCCGTCCCTTTTTCTTCCCTCGGCCCTGCAGAGTTTTTTAGAGACGGCAAATGAAATATCCAACTCGTTTATAGAGCTTGAAAAAACAGATTTACAAAAAAGAGGCTGTGGATCTTTCCAAGAGGCAGTTTCAGGCAGCCTTGCCATACACAAAATAGTTTGGCATAGTTTAATAGCCACATTACTGCACTGCAAAATGTATACATGGTGAAATATGCACATAAAAGGTCATTTCTAGTTCCTTTTATTAGATACTGCATAAAAATAGACAATCACCCATGTGATGCATTTACTGACACAATGAGAGTTTTGCTTCCTATGAAAATCATCATATGTTTCTATTTTACCAGAAATCTATAAAAGCACAGGGGAATTTTGTGTCATTTTGTTTATAACTCTTGTAGGAAGTTGTGGTTGGCTTTTTTTATTTCCTAGTGCCAGCAAATTGCAACTCAGTGTCATGTGAACGTGAGTAAGAGTGCGTGACGATAGAGGGCCCCAACATCCTGTGATAGGTGATGGGACATTGAGACTTTGAGACACGCACCATGGTTCCAGTTTTCAAGAATGGATTACAAAAAGTAACATTCCCCCGAGGAGCCATGGAAGCTCCAGTCTCGCCGTGTTTCGACTTGTTTTTATGCAAGATGAAAACACATTATCACCTGACATAATGAGGCGATCTTGAACCCCCATCTTGAGGAGGGTAGTTCAATTTTGTGCTTATATGTTGCCTATTCCAAAATGTATTTGTTTAATCAAATCAGCACACAGTAAATCTGGGGCCAGGCTGCTTTCTAGTAAAGAGAAAACTGTCCATGTTGCACAGAGAGTGGGAAGGAGAGGGTTGTAGATTCATAAAATGAAAAATGTTTCTCCAGAGCCCAAAGTGACATATTCAAATTGCCTGTTTTGTCCAAGCAGTGGTCAAAAATCCTAAGATATTCAGTTTACTACAATTAAAGACAAGGAAAAAACAGCAAATCCCTATATTTAAGAAGCAGGAACAACAGAACTTGTGCCATTTTCGACTTGAAAATGACACAAATGATTAAAGGGTTATTAGAAATCCAATGGATTAATTGTTTCAGCTCTACATTTAGCAGTAAGGTCACAGTAGGGTCAGAGAATCTATGTATACATCACACAACTCCAGCGAAACAACCTGTTTGCATCACGCTGGTTGTGTTTCACTGTCTGTGCATTATACATTCAGACCTCATGTCACTGCACACACACTGCACACAGACCCAGGGGTGTGTTTACCAAACCAGCAGCCAGACCTTTGACCACACATGGCTGCGTAGCGAGCTACCCAGCTACGCCGAGGCCAACAATACCGGCCATGTACAAGTCTCAATAAATAGAAGCTTTGATGGTGGCTGCTGGGAATTCCAGGGAGGAGGGGTGTATGCTGGGATACCTGGCGTCCCGACCGGAGGTGGTGGTGGTGGTGTGTGGAGTAGTTTGGGACTAGGGGGAGAGAAGTGGAGGTCTTGACGGTGTGGGGGAGACTTTTTCATGGGAGTGTTTTTATAGAAGCAGACGCGTCACCGCACTGGAGCCACAGGACACACTAGCAGCACTCAGCAGCCGGGGCAGAGAAAGTAAATTTGGTTGGTGTTAGAGGCAGATTGACTGAGAGAGAGTCAGGGGATAAATTAATTGAACTAGATGCTTAAATAATCCAGAGAAATCTCGAAGAAATTGTGAGGGTGGAATAAGCAGAGATGGAGAGAAGGGGGATAGGTTGCCTCTCAGCAGGTCCTCATAAGTGAACCTTGTTCTCTGGCCTCTCTGCCCACCACATGACTAACAGTAGCTGTGTGTGCACACAGGCAGTATATGGCCAGGTAGTCCTGTCCCGGTCCGCTACATTTCCATCCCTCCCCCTGCTTTTCCCTTCACTTGCCGGAGGAAAGTCTTGAAGAGAAAACCAGCACTGATGGTGGAACAAGAGAGATATCTGAGGTTTAGATGACGCTAACGAAGGAATTCGGGGTAATTCCACCGACTTTAATTTGTGGTGGGGATGAAAATGTGTGTGTTAACTCAGTGTGCGCAGATGCATAATTGGAAACACACACTTAGAGACGCGGTTAGGCCTTCAACTGCTCCAACAAGCAGCCAGAGAGATGAGAAGATCGATAGCACTCCTGCGTTTATCTGTTAAATATGAAGCTACAGCTAGCAGCCAGTTAGCTTAGCTTAGCATAAAGACTGAAAACAGGGGGAAACAGCTAGCATGGCTCTGTACAATGTTATAAAATATGCCTATCACTTCCTGTAAAGGTGTCATTTTTACACTTAAGATTTTGAACAAGATATAACATGTTAATTTTTGAGCTTTAAAGGAATATTATGTAAATTACATTACACAATCTTCCTCTGATGAACAAAAAGAAGAATTATAAGCAATCTCCTGGACATGTGTGTGTAATGGACAGACATGAGAGTGGTAAAAAAGTGAATAAATCGTCGAACTATTCCTTTAACAGCGTCTCAGTCCAGTCTTAGACCACCAGCAGCAGGCAATGGAAAGAATAGGCTGGTCTTTCATGTGTAAAGATAAATAGTGGTGGTTTTGGTTGACATGAGGACAGACAGGGAGAGAGAAGGGGGAGGACGAGGAGGAGGACAGACAGAGACAGCGGCAGGAAGATCTTAAAGTCTTTGAGGAGCCTAAATGTTGCTGAAAATGTTACTTTTTCCAGCGTTATGACCGCCAGTTGTCTTTGGCTGCGAAAGTCTAGACAGGGTTCTGGGTCATTGTGACTAAAATGACATCAGTGTTTTCAGATTGTGTGTTTTATTTGGCTCTCAGTTCCTCTCTCATCCCTCCTTATGACCCCACAACAAAGTTTCCCGTAACGGGCTCGGCATAAATCAGGGGACATGAGAGGATTTGGTGTTAGTTTTTAATAGTTTGTAAACGGGATAAAGTAGCAGTCACAAGACGAAAAAGACAATAAATTTAACGTGCTGAGTTACCTCAGTGTGTGTTGGCTGCTGTGGGTTAACAAGTCAGCTTGGCACACGAAAAAACCCACTCATATGCACACACCCTTTGTCCCCTTATTCACCATGCAATCTCTATTACACATCTGCACTCGGGGAAGCAGGTCCAAACAAGCGCCGAGGGTTGACTGGAAGTCGTCAAAGACCCACATGTTCACACAAGCGGCCAATCCCCTGGTTTTTGTTGACTAAGATGTTTGCTAAGATGTTTTCCCTGTTGTTTCTGGCGATTCTGACTGAGACCCGCCTGAGCTACTGAGAAATCCAAAGAAAGTAAAAACAGAAAGAAATAAATGATAATTATGTTGCAAACCTCCCAATAAGTGCGTCATACCAAATAAAAAGCCTCCTTATTGTATTTATGCAGCTAAATGTCATTTTCCCATCATAGCATGTAGCATTTTGTTTTTTATGGAAATATAAAGTCCCATACTAGAACTTCTGTATACTGGGTGTAGCAGCCATGATGAGTTTTTTTTTTTGAGTTTAGTTGACATTAGATTTTGATTTTGCTGTTCCAGATGAGAAAGATTCGCATGTTGTTTTAGAGGCAGCACACCCTTCTCCTCTTCTGCGTCAAGTGTCGTAATCTGCACGATCGTCTATATTTTCTTGATCTTGATTTCATTAATTGTTGGGTCTGTGATTCATCAGCTTGTTAACCAACAACCAGGCTGCCTATTGTTTCTTTAAGCACACAAATCACTTTTAGTTTAAGACATAACCATGGAAATGGAGGTGTCCACTTCATCAGAAGACGAATATCACATTTTCAGATTGTACATAGGAGCCCATGTATTTCATATTATTGTAAAAGTTTCAGCTTTTTGTGTTTATTAGATTATTGAAGCAAATCTCCCTCACTGTTATGAAAATAATGATATTTATTACGTGTTTAGTGAATGCACATGGTGCCACTAATTTAATTCTTATTACATCAGGTACTCATATGTACAGTGTAATTTGTGGTTTAAAAATGTGGGTTCAGCAGAATATATTGACAGACTTTTTACACAGTATACATGGTCTAATAAAAATGCATTTTATTCATAGTTCTATATATATATTTATAGATCTTCAAGATCTCTACCTGTTAAAGGAAACTGTGTGTAATGGCATCATCATGTCATGTAGTATGTAGGTGGTAATATCCTGTCTCCGGTGGCGGTGTCTATGTTTAAAAAGAAAAGCATCCCACAAACAAAACTCTTAATCACTATCTAAATATATACACATTATTTACTCTCTTTCTTTTCTTTCTTTCCTCTCTCTCTCTCTCAGGCTTGGCTGCAGAAGTTTGGCTACCTGCCTCCAGGTGATGTCAGAGCCCAGGCCATCCGCTCACCAAAGTCCATTGAAACAGCGATAGCAGCCATGCAGAGTTTTTACGGTTTGACCGTCACCGGCTCCATAGACTCCAACACGTTACAGTGAGTCCTGATTAACGATGGTGATTTAATAACACATAACTGCTTGGATTCTTATTAATGAAAATATTCATATTCATATAATGTTCATATTCAAAAGTCTGGAGGTCATTTGATGACTTGCAAGACGAACTGAGAGAGTCGAAGGAATCAAGGTTACCGTTCTCAAAAAGATGTGTCTTTCAAAGCAGTTAAAGTATTTTACATAGTTGAAAATTGGGACTATTATTTTGCTGTTGCCAGGGCGATGAGCCGGCCGCGGTGTGGTGTCCCTGACAAGTTCGGCCCGGCGCTGAAAACTAACCTGAGGAGGAAGAGATACGCTGTGCAGGGTCTGAAGTGGGACAAATCTGAGGTGACCTTCAGGTCAGTATCACACTCTGCACACCTTCACTAATCTGCAGTTTGACTTTACTGCTGAAGTTTCACACGTGGATTTGATTTTTGATGCAACTCTAACTTCCTTTTAGTATATTATTCTGAGTTGAGTTCAACCATCCCAGCCCTGACTCTCCCTTCTTTACAACAGCATACAGAACTACACCCCTAAGGTCGGAGAACGAGCCACGAATGAAGCCATTCGAAAGGCCTTCCAGGTGTGGGAGAGCGCGATCCCGCTCACCTTCAGGGAGATCCCCTACAGCCACATCAGAGGCAAGGTCGACAAGTACGCAGACATCATGCTCTCCTTCGCAGAGGGTTTCCACGGAGACAGCACACCGTTCGACGGCGAGGGCGGCTTCCTGGCTCATGCTTACTTCCCGGGACAGGGCATCGGGGGAGACACGCACTTTGACCTTGCTGAGCCATGGACCACCGGGAATGTCGACCAGGGAGGTAAGAGAAAGAAGAGTCGAAGGTCAAAGGTAGATCTAACGACAAGCTGAAACAGACTGAACTAAATATCCTCTCCTCTCTCTCTCTGAAGGTAATGATGTTTTCCTGGTAGCCGTCCATGAGTTGGGTCATGCTCTGGGTCTGGAGCACTCCAACAACCCCTCTGCCATCATGGCCCCCTTCTACCAGTGGTTTGACACCGAAAACTTCCAGCTCCCTGACGATGACCGCAGAGGCATCCAGACAATTTATGGTGGGTTCTCCTAAAAGAATTGGAAATTGATTGGCAGCACATATTTGTGATGTTCCCAATGAAAAAGCCTCCAATTTAGGGTCTTGTGACAACTTTTAGTACAAAAATTACATACAGATTATACACCTTTGAAGCGGTCTGGCAGTCCAACAGTGTAAAAAGTCCTTGAAAACTCGATGTCCAAATGATCAGAACCACTTGTTTGAATTTATTCATAGGTGGACGGTCTTTAAGGCCTAATTCACAGCTTTTTTATCAGTATTGATTAACTTTTAAAGATACGTTGTTTCCTAAAAGAAAGCCACATGATATCAACAGTTTTAACTTCGTAAGCATTGAAAAAAGACTTATTTTAAATGTGTTGGTTGCTCTTAATGCAAATGATCCATCTCTCACTTCTCTCTCTCTCTCAACACCTGAACCACAGGAACCAAGTCTGGCGCTCCCCCTCCTCCTCCCCGACCCACAAAGCCGTCCACCCCCGACAGGCCAGATCACGGCCCAGACATCTGTGAGGGACACTTTGACACCATCGCTGTCCTCAGAGGGGAAAAGTTTGTATTTAAGGTACAGGAGACCTTTTTCTTTTTTCCTCAAACCTCCTCAAAATGAACTCAAAGACCAAATATAAATATCTGTAGGACAGAGCTGGATTGTGCTGGTGCTGTGTTGTATAGTTGCAGGTAGTGGTGTTTAACTAACATGGGCACAAACCCCAAAAATATTCAGTTCACTTTGATATAAAATGGAAAGAAGCAGCAAAACTTGGTGATGATACAATTGGGAATGGATGATACAACTAAAAACTGTTGGAGTATATTCTACTGTAGCTTTAATCTAACTCCATGTGTGTTGCAGGACAAGTGGTTTTGGCGCGTGCGTAACAACAAGGTGTTGCCAGGTTACCCCATGCCTATCGGTCACTTCTGGAGGGGACTGCCTTCGAACATCAACGCCGCCTACGAGAGGGATGATGGGAAATTTGTCTTCTTCAAGGGTAACGAACTGGTCCTCTTTGATCTCCTCCGATCCGTCATCCTTCCTGTTTTCAATCTCCGTTCTTCTCATCTCTCTGGTTTATTTTTCTCTCTTCCATCGTCCAGGTGACAAGTACTGGGTTTTCAGCGAGTCCAGCATGGACAAGGATTCTCCCAAGAGCCTGAAAGACCTGGGTACCGGTCTCCCCAAAGACAAGCTTGACGCCGCTCTTTTCTACACACCAACAGGACAGACGTACTTCTTCCGAGGCACTAAGTGAGTCTGTCCTCTGTTCAAATACATCTGAGAGTAGAGACATGATGGAAAATGAGAGGAAAGAGATGCTGTAAAGACCTTGAACCAGGATCTTTGTGATTACACAGTCAGCATCTTAAACCCTTGCAGGCCACAAGACGCCCCAACAGTGTAGATTTTCAAAACAAAACACTTCTGTCTGGGGCCACAGCCAGGATTTTTAGTCATGCTGAGGTCATGAGTCAAAATTTCTCCAACATCAGCCCCTTTTTGATTCGCCTCCAAAAAAACATTTTCACTTTTGTTATTGAATTTTGGTAGAGAAACAGTAAAGCTGTTCATTTGATTTGATTAAATTCTCTTTCTTCTTTTAGTTTTGGCTGAATTTAAATAAATTGAGTCTTAAGAAGCTGTTTCAGATCCGTCTCTCATGCTGTGGATCAGTAATAGTTCTGTCTGTGCGTCACTCGCAGGTACTACCGATTCAACGAGCAGACTCGCAACGTGGACAGCGGCTACCCAAAGCCCATCAGCACGTGGAGCGGAGCGCCGGACAACATCAAAGCTGCCATCATGAGTGAAGATGGATGTGAGTTTTGCTCGTGATCAAACTGAGAATTCAGATGTGTATATTCCAAGGTTTAGTGTTGTTTACATTTAGAGCTGAAACAATGAGTCGATTATTGAAATGAAATTACTATTTTGATAATTAATCAATAGTTTTAAGCCATTTCAAGCAAAAATACCAAAAATTTCTTCATATCTGGTTCTCAAATGTGAGGATTTGCTTCTTTGATAATAATGTTATTGAATTATGGCATTTTCAAGATGCCACCTTGGGATTTAGGAATCTGTGTTGGACATTTCCACACAATTTTCTGGTATTAAGTAGACAAAGAGATTCATCCATTCATTGAGAACGGTAAAGGCAGATCGGATGGTTATGAAAATAATCTTTCGCAGCCCCTGAAAACTGCAAAAACTGACAAAACTAACTTCTGATCCCGTCTTCCGCAGCTTACACGTATTTCTACAAAGCCAACAAGTACTGGAAGTTCAACAACCAGTACCTGAAGGTGGAGTCTGGCTATCCCAAGTCTGTGCTGAGTGACTGGATGGGCTGCGAGAGCGAGGAGCCCAAGAAGGGTCGGGAAGAGGAGGTGATCATCATCGAGGTGGACGAATCGCAGTCCGGGGCCGGGCCGGTGGCCGTGGTGATCCCTCTCCTGCTACTGGTGCTGGTGGTCGTCACTCTGGGAGCGCTTTTGTTCTTCAGGAAGTACGGCACGCCTCGACGCCTCCTCTACTGCCAGAGATCCCTCCTGGACAAGGTGTAGACAAAGCGATGGGTGATTGACAGACTGCCACAGAGGGACAGAACGAGAGGGGGAGAGAGAACGAGGGGCCGGGTGAAGATGGAAACGGAGAGGGGGGGAAGAAGTGAAAGAGGAGGAGAGAACTGGAGGAGGAAAAAGACAGAAGAAGTGGGGGATAGAAAGGGGACGATGTGTTAGGTTTTGGGTGGTTTGTATGTGCCACAAAAGAGGGGGGAAAAAAAGAAAAAAGAGAAAGGCCCTAGAAACTGAAATCAGGAAAATGTGTATTTGTATTTTAACTATTTACATGTACTGTTCTGTGTTCAGAGATTAAAGAACATACCCACAATCTCACATAGAGAAAGGGAACTGTACAAAGACTCGTCATCTTCATCGACTTCCCTCCCGCCTCTCCTCTCTCACATCCCAGGTATTAAAGAAAAAAAAAGAAAAACATCCCCGTATCCTTCCTCCCTCTACTCCAACTGGACGACTCCAGCTGAACTGCTGTCTGATTCATTAAATTCCCCAACCAGAAACTTTTTCTTCTGTGTTTTCAGTTTGAGTTTTACTGAGAAATTCATCATCTCTGTTGAGAGTTTTTTGCCGTGGAATGCATCCCTCGGGTTTTTCTTCTTTCTTTTTTTTGGGGTGGTGTTTTGTTTCAATATGACATTTGCTCTTAAAGTTAAAGTTTTGAAGTTAAGCCACGCAATATCGCTCGTATTTGTCTGCTTTTCTTTCTACCACTAAGTAGGGCTGGGTATCAAACCTCAGACTCCTTCAGTACCGCCAGAAATGTGTCACAGCAGCAGGTAGCGTTGTCAGATTCATTCGATCAAATAGGCCCCAGATTTAAATCACATGCTGCTGACGTTAGCGCTTGTACTGCTGCTTGTTTTCAGGCGACATTTAACATTTAACATTTAACTTTGGCTTCTTTTTGTTCATGTAAAAAAGGAGGAAAAACATTCATATCTCTCAAAGTAAGGTACTGAAATAACTGGTGCTCAGGTATCGCATCAGGACTATTATAGAAAAATTTAAAAACAATACCCAGCCCTGCGACTAAACACCCAAAGACGACCATGTTCAGTTTTAGTTATTATCATTATTATTACCTAATCTTTGGATGGATTTAACGAAGCTGAGTGTAATAGCACATCCCCTATGCAAAGTATTAGTAGTGATCAATGCAGACTTTCAAACATGCACACATGGGATTTCTGATTGGTATTTGTTTAACCACAATTATGTCCACAAAAGTCAGATGTTACATGAGGCTGCTGCAGGGGATTTCTCCTTGTTTGTTTGATGGATCTAATCTTTTTTTTTTTTTTTTTTTTTTTTTTTTGTTAATGTCTGTGTAACTGCAACTTCAGACACTTAAGCAGCGCAGGCAAAACTCTTCTTTCAGTGCAAGCAGTCAGACGGGAAATGGTTTTTGTTTTTTGTTTTGTTTTTGTTTTGTTTTTTTGTTAAAAACGTGATGATGACAGTTTTGAAACATTCCAGTACATTTCTTGTTGAAGACGAGCAGAGCTGCTTGTCCAGATGTGTCAGTAAGCGGTACAGCTTCCAACAATATGGTGCAATTTTTTAATTATTATCGTTGTTATGGGGAATTGTTGTTATTATAAGTATGGTTATTGTTATTATTGTTCTCCTGGTAAAGTTATAATGACTTTTTTTTTTTTTTTGCTTTTGTACGTTGTCATTTGGAGTCCTGCTGGACAGAGGCATAACATGACAATGATGGAAATGAATCCCAGTTTACACTCGCGTGTGGTGAATTAGATCAGATCAGAGGGTAAATGTGAGTTCAGGGAGTTTCTTTTTGTTCTGAAACACCCGAAATTACGCAGACGTCAGCACAGAATAACAAGCAATGCTATTTATGAACTTTGACACAGATGGTGCTCAATGTTTTTTTTCTTTCTATTTTTTTTTCTCTAACTCAAATCAAAATTGAAGGTGAATTGATTTAATAAATAACAATGATAATGGTAATGATATTTATAATGATGATCATATCAATAAAATGCAATGAGATTTTTTTTTTTTCTGCCTGTTTTCACTTTTGTATTTCAGTAGATAAAGTGAAATTAAACTATTTTCTACAAACAGTCATAATAGTTTTTTCAGTGCTTTCAGAATCTTTTCACCAGTGTCTGAATACACACACACACACACACACACACACACACACACACACATACACTTTCACACCACAAGCTAAAGCACAACAACAAATACAACCATTTTTTTGGATATTGAATTTTAGCTACCAAGAAAATAAGAAAAAGTAAAAGAAAAACTTTTGTTTCAGAAGATATCAAAGGGGAAATGTCTCTGTAACACTCCATAAGTCTGTTTATTCTTTTTGACTAAATACTGAAGTGTAACTCTTTACTTTAATCCCCCCATTAAGCTTCGATAAGCTCTATATAAACAATTTACAAACACTGTGGGCGGCCAAAAGCATCACAGTTTGCCGTTGTTTTTAAGAAGTTGACATTGTGGAGACGAAACTGTTTGAATTCTGGCAGCTTCACGTGATGATCGCTTGGATTCAAGCCTCAGTTTACACTTTGATCGAGACAGTGTCCCAGCTACATGCTACAGAGGCGTGCTGCATATCAGTTAGTATCCAGAAACTAATGTGTTGTGCTTAGTGTCACAATGAGCTGAAACTCATTTTTCAAAACTGGGAGAAGTGTTTGGAAACATCGCTTGTTTTTGATGATGATGATTACATCAGGTCAACATCTGCCCCTCTTTTTTCTAATACACTGCACTTTAAAAGTCCAGTGCTTTGAGAAGGCAGATTGGCATTTAAATGTGTTTTCATTATTTATCGCATATTTGGACCCACATAAGTTGTTACCTTGACAACAATTACCCCTCTACCTTATTATAAACTATATTTTAGTGCATAATATATTAACAGCAATAATATCCACCTGTTAAAACAATATTAAAACATATATTAACATTACAAGGAATATGCAAAAGCAAATAAAGTTTTTTTTAAAAAAAAGATCTATGCTTTTTATTTGCAGGCCTGACTTTAAGAAAAAAGCTTTAGTGGCTTTTCTAACCTGTTTTGTAAAATCTTTGATCTAATGTCAAATGTGGCCCTCTATGTAAAAGTTTTGTTTTCTTTTTGCACTGGTCTTTGGTCGAGGTAATGTAGCGTGACCTCCACTAACCCGCCTAGTTTAACCCATCGTGATCCCTGACCTCCATGTTGAGGAATATCATTGTCGGGCAAAGACAAAGAGGATTAAACAAAGAGATGCGATGTGTGTGACTAATCTTCACCTCCTCCTGACAGACCAGGTTGCCGCCTACCGCAGGGCCACAGATGGAGCAGTCTGGATGCAGTTACACCGGTGGTTGTTTTGGACACGGAGCCAGCAGTCATGTGTGGAGGAACGAGTTGGAAAAAGTGACTGAACGGTCACATTTTTCAGAGAAGTGCGTTCCAGCTGAGCATCTGGTATTCTTGAAACATCTGAGCCTCTTGGCCAGGCTGTAGTCTGCATGTGTGTATACTGTATGTGTGTGTGTGTGTGTGTGTGTGAGTTCAGCTTCATGCAAAGAAAAGTTTACACCCTGGCTCTCCCCTCTTAAAATTAATTGTAAGCAAATGTGTGTGTGTGTGTGTGTGTGTGTGTGTGTGTATGGGGGGGAGGGACGGACAGTGTGTGAAGAAAAAGAAGCGAGAAAGGAAAGGTGAGGAGAGAGAAGTGAGAGGAGCAGTAAAACAGAAATGTTTTTAATGGTTTGGGGATATTTTTCCCTCTGCACATTTCTATCCAAAAAAACTCTAATGCATGCAACCCCGCCCCCCACCCCCCCCCCCCTCTCAACCCCCCCCCCCTACCCCCCGCCCCCCCCCCCCCCTCCCCCCCCCCCCCCCCCCCCCCCACTCCCTCCCCTCTCTCTCGCTCTCTCTTATTTCCTCACCCATTGCAAAAATTATTCTTTTTATGAGGCTTCAGTCTCAAACCACTCCTCCTCTCGCCACAAGTATCTCTGGTCTGTTTTTTGCTCTTTCTTCTCTGCCCCTTCCCCCCTCCCCCCTCCCTGCTTTAACTCTTCACATCCTGTACGCTGTGAGTGTAACGGTAAACAACAACAACCTGGGTAAACCACAAGGCCAGGACAAACAACCACCAGCATAAAAGGAAAATGGCTGAAAATCATGTTGGTATGCAATTATGGTTTAGTCTCTAAAAAAGCCTGTTTTCATCTAAATGACATTTTTTCCAGAAAATACATCATGATGGTTTGGCTTTTACACATTAAAATTTCTGTAAAAGTTGTTACCGCAGTTTGTAAAGTGACAGCCCAGCTTACAGTGTATGTTACTAAATAAAAAATGTTATAAAAACAAAGTTTTATATCAGATTTAATTGGATCTTAACCTGCAGAAGCTGTTTTTACAGCTGACCTCTGATTTTTCAGGATGCCAACTACAGAAGTAGTTTGATCATTATTTTTTATCATCACATTCAATAAGTTTAATTTGCAATCTAAATTATAATACGGTCAAAAAGCTCCAGAACGAGCAAGTAAGTGGACCTTGAGTTTCTGTGGGTCATTTCGTGAGAGACTGAAAGAGGCATTTTTGCACCAAGTGTCATTGTTAAAATGTGGCCTGTCTGCTTCACTTGTATGAAAATACTGTACGCTAACCTGACTGACCTCACCTTTTCTATTTTCTTTTCTCCTCACATCTGGCCATCCACTTTCCTGCTACACTGGCCAAAGCCTCTCCTTCTCTTTTCTGTGTCACCTGATGTTTCCATTTGTCTCGGTGAATGTCTTCCGCTGCTCCGCTGGATCACTGATGGATGTGTAGATGCAGCTGAACTATGTATGAATGCTTAATGTTTCCAAATGTAAACTTTCAGCAATAGTCTTCCAAGCACTCACCGCATAGTTTATACTTCTGCTTTCTAAGAAAACCCCCGGTTATAAAGGGTGCATGCTTTATAGATCAGTTATGAGCCATAAGAAACAATTTGAGGGTTGACAGGTTGGGAAAAATCTCTTCCTGAAAAGAATTACTTGGAAAGAGCAATGAAAACATTAATGACAGCAAAACACTAAAACCAGAATAAATATTAATCTATTAATAAAAGAACTCCTCTCCATATTTCTTGAATTGTAATGCTCGACTATAGACACATTTCTAAATATGAAGCAGTCTAATTGGTTGTGGAGTCGTTTTTCAGACATAAAGATCTGTAAATGATCCTGCAAATTAAAAAAAAGCAAAGTTTAGAGGGAAAAAAAAACATTTAATTTTGTGCAGATGTTTTTTCTGCTTTCATATCCTGTTATTTGTCTCACAGCCCCTCAGATTTATTAGGTGAACTTTTGGAAAGTCGTCACCCCCCCTCCCCCCTCCCCAGGTTGGCAACCAATGCTCTTAATTAACTGGAATTAATTAACTGGCTGCGTACCAATTTAACAATATCATATGTTCCCTATAATTAAAACCAAATTGCATAGTTCTTTCCAGGAACCTTTTACTGCTCCTTTCTAGGAAATTATTAGGCAAGTATGGGACCTGCCCTTTCTTTCTTGCCTCCCAGCTCTCACGCTGATGCCCGCTCAGTGGGAGGAGCAGTCAGACGAGAGACAATTGTGTCTAATGGTTGTCGAAGATGTTGCTGATCAGGAAGGCCCAGAGCAAAAGACATAAAACTCCTCAGACTGTGTCAGAAGGCACATTTTTTCACTTAACTCTGGATCCTTTGTACAGTAATGTGGATGTCTGTTTGGAGGTGCTACCAGGTTTATGAGCCAAGCATCTGCTCTCCTTGTCTTGTAGGTCACAAAGATGAATACAGATGAGATCTTTGGCAGCCATGTTGGCTTTTATTCCTCTTTCTCCCCTTTTTTCCCCTTTTTCCCCCCTCTCTCTCTCTCTCTCTCTCTCTCTCTCTCTCTCTCTGTCAGCCATTTTAATGCTGAACTCATACAGTCTGACTGGGCGGTGCAGGAACAACCATCGGGCTCAGCACTCCTTCTCCATGCCAGGCAGGAAGTGGCCAGGACAGCTGCTTGCAATTCATCCTGAGACTTTGTTTGGGTGACCTACATTATGGCACAATTTACTTTCTACTGTAACTTTTAACAGCACTTTTTCTTTTTCTCCTCATTTTCCCATTTTACTTGACTCTCAGTAACTAAGTGCATTTACTTTAAAGTACAGCTTTGAGGTACTTGTACTTTACCTGGGCATGAAGTGAACTTCGTGCTACTTTATACTTCTACTCTGCCACATTTCAGAGGGACATACTGCACTTTTAACTCTATCTATCTATCTAGTCTTTGACTTCTGCAGACCAAACTTCCACTTAAGCAGAAGCATGTTGCATAAAAGGAAAACAAATAAGCGGTTTACTGTCCAGCGAGCAGCAAACAAAAGATAATTGCAGCCTGCAGTTCCACTTCTCATACAGTCATGTGCAGTTCAAAATGTCGAGGCTGTGTAATTTTGTCCATCATTCTTCCCAGGGTGCCCCACACCCCAGGAACACCCAGGTCACGACCTGTATGGTTGTTCAGGTTGGAGGACCTGTCGGAGGAAGTGGTCTTTGGGAAGGAGTTGCTGAATCAGACGCTCCACAAACCCGGCCCAGACTCTGCACCGGGGGCGCTGCCCATCCTCCTGCACCCCCCATCCCAGTCATATATATGCCAGGAAACCCTCCCTGTTTTCTGTGGGTAAAACTACACAGGCCTGTCAGCTAATCCTCAAAAGCAGCCACATCTGGCTCATCCTTCTCCCTCCATCCTAGCAGACTGACCTCACCTAACGCCCCCTACCTCCCTAAAACACCCTCCTCCCTCCCTCCCTGCCTCCCTCCGTCGCTGACTTCTGCACAATAAGCAACATCTGGTTCTCATTTCACAAAAACCAAAACAACACGAGGAAGAGAGGAAGGGAGAGACGGGGGAGGAGGGGAAAGACATTCACAGAAAAGCAGGATGTGAAAAGATGGTGAGTCAAGAGAAAGAATGAGGGGTTACGTTTCTCACTGTTGGTGCAGTTGGAGGTCTTTGATGGTCCAGGTGCGAGGATGACGAACGGGATGAATTGTGTCCCCTTATAAAAAACAACTTTGACATTTCTTACAACACTTTAACTTGTCTTTTAACACCCTCTGTGGTCTGTTCAGTGTCCTCCCACACTTCTGTAACATGACAAACAGTCTGCTCCATCGGTCAACTGTATAAAAAAAAAAGTCAAAACGAGGAGGGGAGGTGGGGTGGGGGGAGAAAACTCCCATCTCCACAGAAAAGAATCTGCAACTCAGCGGCTAGCAGCCCTAATTACAGTGGGGCTTTGCTGAAGTCTGCAACAAGACCCGGGCAGAGAGAGAGAGAGAGAGAGAGAGAGAGAGAGAGAGAGAGAGAGAGAAAGGCAGATGTAGAGAGAGAAAAATGTGAGGAAGAAGGGAGAAGAAAGCCGAAAAAGGGGAAAAAAAAAAAAAAAAAAAAAAAAAAAAAAGAGGGTGAGTGGAGGTGGGAGACAGGAGAGGCTTACCTCACTTTGTAAACAGTCTGTTTATAAATCAAAGTCAGAGTAAATTAGTGCTGACTTTACAAAGGCACAGCTGCCCCGGCATCTCTGCAAAATGTCCCTTTACCCTAACTAACCGCACACGACCAAAAGTCTGGACATGACAAAATCATTTTACAAAGAGCTAGAGAAAATCCAAGCCCCTCACTCAAAACAATATGACTAACTTTTTTTTTCCAGCTTAAAAATTTGAGCTGATACCATAAAAAAAAACACTTTCTGTGGGACCAAGCTTTCTGCCAACTTAGCTGCAGCCATCTAATCATCTTTCCAGACACCGGGCTGCAGAGCGCCACAGTCAAAATTCCAGCTTTTCCCCTCTTGTTGGCGAAGATGCCCCATGAAAATAAAACCTAAGTGGCTTTAAATGAGCTACACAAAGCTTAATTAGAGCTCAAAAAAAAAAAAAAAAAGCCAAAAAAAAAAAAACATCACCCATTTCTATCTACAAACATCATCCAGCATCAGACCTGTACTAAACTTGGGTTTGTATTTGTCTTTTTCTCTGATGCTGGTGTCACATAAGGTTTCCTTTTTATTGGGTGACCACTTAAACTTAACTAAGCAGTTTCACCGAGGTGGTCTTGACCGAAACATTCGTCATGTATTTCGAGTAATAACACTGAGTTACTACAGCATGCCAAGGTGTGAACCCCTCACTCTCTCTCTTTAACACACACACACACACTCATACACAGTGAGGGTCCTGAATCAGTGCCACTTTATGTTTGCCAGCTCCTCCCTTCCTCTGCCTGCCCAACAAAACTCCTCTCTGAGCCCAGCGCCAGACAAAATGGCGTTTGAGCTCTCACACCGCCTCAAAGGAGAAATGCTGCATTCTAGTGGAAGCTGAGAGACATTAACACTCAAATGTAAAATAAAAAAATAAAGTATCTATCCATCTATCTATTGCTCGTTTGCTTATTCTTCGAGCAGCCCACAGAGCCATGATCATAACAGCTTCATGTTCAACATATAAATCAAAAACAGAACAAACGTTTAATTCAGAAATCCATGAATACTGACAAACGTAAATTATAATGCAGGAGAAAACCAACACATCCTTAATAAAATATTTCCAATAGGCAGAATGTCAATATGTTGTTTAGAATAAGGATATCACAACAGGATCACGTCGATAAACTGTGTCTAACTTTGAGATTTTTTCTTCATTAATAACTTCCCTTTAGGTTTGAATAAAAGAGACTTTTTATGATCCTCCACTCTTTTGGCCTCGTCCTGTCTTTCCCTCCACATCTCTATTCCTTTGTCCATCTCCGCACTCAGCATCACGATCCGTCTCTGTGAGAGGACGGAAAAGATGAAAGGTTACAGATGAATGCGAGTAAAAATTATAAATGCAGACAGAGATGATTAAAAAAGAAAGATAAATGTGCAACACTCACAGCTAAAACTTCCTTCTCTTGTCTTCTCCTCAGCTGGCCCTTCATTGGTGGTGCTGGTCTTCCATCTGATCACAACACACAATACAAACTATGAATTACACTACAAAACATGCTACAAGTACATGACATTTTTATCAAATCGCAGTCACAGCTTTCTCACATTATTGGGAGTTCAGAGTGAGGGAGGTGCCGCACAGACTTTATTGCATGAGTTGATGTTTTGGCAACATCAACTATCAACATGGTCACGTATAATTTACAGCTTCCAGATATGCAACATAGCCTAAACAGAATAAGATGCATGTAAATAACCATATAAACAAACCACATGCTGAATTCACCAACATCAGTGTGAGTAAAAACAACTATACTACATGGAAATGTAACAGAAAAAGGGTGAAGCACATCACTGTAGACATCCCCTATCTTAGCTTATGTCCCTTGAAATACGTCCAAATACCTGAGACTTGATGAAAAATAAAAATAAAAATAAAAGATACCTGCATACGACCAGTCAGGCAGATCTGTCAGAGGTCCATATTCTGTGCCGCTTCGAGAAAGTCCATGTCTGCAAGAAAACACGCACGTTATAAAGTATGAAACCTTTCAGTAGGAGGTCATGTTAGTCAATGTGACAATGGCTTTACTGACAATGGTGCCATTTCCATTCTACATACTAATTGTATGCACTAGGCATTGTATAATCATTTTCACAGTATACAGTTTTCTCTTTACTTCTGTACTTTGCTGCTTTGTGTGCACAGAAAATGATGTAAGACTTACATTGGTTGTTACCAATTTAACTTCACAAACAGATAGCAAAGTTTTTGTTGAGATGTTGAGATTTAAGTTAATGTTTTGTTTACCAAGGTTTTTCCGAGGGCTATCTCACCACCATCCACAATTTGTTTTCATTTTTTCTAGCTGTAAGCAGCCCAACTGTGTTCACCTTATCCAATTAACTCACTGTTCCACTCACTCTTTGTGCAGCCTGAATGGTTCTTTTAAGCTGGCCCCAGGTATTGTGTGTGGTAATTTGATTAAATGCAAATTCATAAACGCACAAAAACTTGAAATAATGAAGGTTTAACAGGAACCTTCTCTAAGAGAGGGCCTCAAGATCAGATAACAAAGCAGCAGCCTCACTCAGGCCTTTATCATGTCTGTTGATAATGTGTTTAGTGGTCCACATTCCCAAACTAATTTTTAATTAAATTAGCACAAACCAGCAGGAGCACATTGAGACAAGAGCTTTTGGGGCCCTTGAGGTTGTTCCCAGTTGGTCATCAAGCCTTGGTGAGCATTAACAGCACACTTATGGTGGTTTTAGTACCAGTATCAGCTGTTTTTGAGTATATAACAACACTTTTCTAGTGTAAATACAATACTCCGACAGAGTAAACTTACTCTTTCCTCCATTTCTCTCCAGCCTGTACTCCACACGTTGTGCTGAACTGCCTGCTGGAGTTTCTCAACACTGGAAAACAACAAGAGCAGAAACAATATCAACCCTCTGAGGTCACCTCTAGACACCTACAATCACCTGAAAGCCACAGGATACCCTCCGGTGAGATGGTGTCTGGATTCAAAGGAAGAGACTGTACATACAAGAGTATTTATTACGTCTGTTCAGTGTGTCAGTAGAGAAACAACCTCACTGTCGTCTAAGTAGCACATCATGCTGCCAAGAGTTTACATGACAGAGCTGTTAGCATTAGCGTTAGCCTTGCTCGTCGACCGTTACTGGATTTACAGTGGTTACTCAAACAGACGCTGTATCAAAGGAAGCGACTATTAAAACAGATATTAACAGCTACGGAACTCAGCTTGAAAGTTTTATCATGTTTCTGACACAGCAGATTTAATGAATAACCTCTGTCTCACCCGAACAGCACAATGTCCTGACGGTGGCCGCCATGTTGTCTGCAGTACTTGGTATCGACCACCAGGTGGGGCTAAAGATACACTGTGAGGTGCCTCCTCCTCGTCCTCATTCTTCTTCTTCTTCTTCCTCCTCCTCTTCCTTCTCCTCTTCTTCTTCTTCTTCTTCTTCTTCTTCTTCGGGGTTACTGATTTCAATGTTTTTGACTGAAAAGAAGATTTTATAACTCATATATAAATAAAGACAAAACAAACGAGTTTCCCTCTTTATCATGTCTTTCCATCCCACGTTTACAAATTGAAAAAATATACAAAACAACAACTATACAAGTGATATAAAATATCATAAAATTTAAAAACACCATCACACCAAAGGCTATTCATCATAAAATGAAATGTGAAAAACAGCATGTCCTCTCTTTGTATGAGATTATGTACAAGCAAATTAGATTTAAAAATGTGCACGGGGTAATAAGATAAAAAAAAATTGATAAAATAGATCTTTTTTTTGCCCTTTAATTGATCTCATAATGGATCTTTTGATTGTTTTTAAAATTCGTAAATCATAAATTCCACTAATTGTCAGATAGATTGGATATGGTTAGCATACCATTGTTCTCAGTGAGTGAGGAAAAATTACTTTCTCTTATCTGTTACAACACTGTTATTCTATAAAATGTGATACTGTTGAATCACAGAAGCTTGAGTGCTATTACTGCAAACAAATATGATTTGGACATTGATTTTTGCCCAGCCATGCCTTTTGTGATCATCAGTGTCCATCATGAGGCAGCAATGGAAAGGAAAGACACTACTAAGATATTCATTAAAACATTAAATGAGCATGACATTACAAGTCAGTCAGGTGACTTGTTATGAGGACTAGTTTTCAGTGTCAGTAAACAGTTATAATGTCTCGTGGATGAGCTTTGTCATGTCTGAGAAAATATCCCTGATGATGTCATAGTGATGTCATCAGGGTTATCTTGGCTTGGCCTTATTGACTTTCAGCCACTGAGAATTTATTTATTTGTTTAAGTTTGAAAAGCATGTGTTTATCAGGCAAGCAGGGAGGGTGTAATGTAGTGGTTCCCAACCTTTTTTGGCCCATGAACTCTGACCAGGATGTCGTATGTGTCACCACCTTGTCACTGTGGCCTTATGTGAACATGAGTTTGACCAGTTCAGACTACAAGTTGTTTTCTTTCTCAGATTGCCAAGGATTTCCAGAGGTTTGGTGAAGTCACAAGATCCAGAATTTCACCAAAAATTGCCAAACATTTATGAAAAGCCAGGGGAATAAATAAATGTATGGACAAGAAATATTTCTGTTTTCTTTCTATTTCTGGTTTCATCTTATATAATCTTGCAACCCCTCAGATTGATTTTGGGCCTCTTGGGCGATCCTGACCTCTAGGTTGTGGTGTTGCATGATGGGAAATTGATAGTCTAGAGTTTTTGGAGCTTGATACTTACTTAAGACTCAAAGTCAGTCTCTGTCACTTACATTTCCACCTTTAATTTTATAATCTGTCTCTTATGAGTCCCCCAACTTTGAATAGTAAATACTCGAGTGCCCCTTCGGTTTGGTTGACAGTTGTCTACTGAAATTACTTGGAGCATAAAACGTCTCATTTCTCCAGAACACATCAGTGTTGTGTTTAAAGAAATAATGACACAAATAGAAGGAGAGCGTCATGTGTCCTAATGTAAATATTGTATTATGCTGGAAAAGAAAGGCAGACAGAGCACAGCCGCTCTCGCAGCTCTTCAAAGTATTGTTTTTGTATGAACTGCTCCGACACTAAGCCCAGAAGAATTTCTCTGTTAGCTTTTCAGACAAGTTGCCACTCGCAGCCTGTGAGGTGGAGAGTCTGCAGAGGCTGCTGCAGGGACTCCGGTGAACCGCAGGGGCCATGAAAGGCTCCATCTGGAGGGGGCTCCGGGGCAGATAGAAAGCCGACAAGCCTATCCAAACACGCCGGGCCAAACAGAGCAGTACTTTATCAGGGCTTGTTGTGTGTTGGTGTGTCCGTTAACTGCCACAAAAACGACCGGAATCAGCACTGACTCATGCCGACCAGTCCTGAAATAGTAGCGGGATGTTTACTCTGTATCGTCCTTGGAGAACACAGACACGGCGAAAAAATCTACTAGCCGCCTCACTATGCCGTCTCCCTCCGCGCATTCCACAGGCTGCTGGTTCAATAAAGTAGTGCCGTTGCCTAAACGACGCAGTTTTATCTAATTTTAACTGTAATGTGGAAAGACAGCGTTTACAGATTTTGTGGAAGAGGAAGTACTCTGGTCATTTGAATTTGTTAAACTAGTGTGAAAATAGACTCTATCTATAAGTAAAAAGCCATGCATTTGAAATTTTGCTTAATATTAAAGATGGGCCTATTAGTAAGTTACAATTAATGGACATAGATTAGGCCTCTAAAGTAAAAACACCAGTTATGCAGAATGGGCACCGAGCTGCAATGGCATTATATTATTATATATATTACATTACTGTCTTATTCTGGATGTGTTAATGTGTGAGCATCATTTCTATGTCATAGCTTGTCAAAACTGAGCTAATTCTAACTAATGTATATGCTGTTGTAGTGTAATCTATAACAATGCATCATATTTAACATGATGATCATGTGTTATGAGGGGAAGATTATAATCTGCAATGTAAATATAGTTGTCAGTAAATATACTAGAGTCCTTCTGATATGTAGTGAAGTAGAGATAAGAAACATTAAATGGAAATACTCAAAATTGTACTTAAATGCAGTATTTCAGTAAATGTACTTAGTTACCATTCATGTCTTAAAAATTACAGTTTAAAGCCCAGATTGAGGTTAGCCCATAGTGCACAAAAGAAAAGACTTGGTTTCGGTTATGATTTGGGGGTTATGGTTCTGTGAGGAAAACAAAGCCAAAGTAAGAGCCTGTCTGAAAACAGAAGCGTTTGATTGTTGTTTAACCTTGTGCCAAGACACAGCCACATGAATACATCTGTATCCAGTGCTCAGTCATAATAAACATCAACCTAATAGTTAGCCTGTCATTTTCCAGGGGCAAATTAAACCCCTCTTTCTCCCACTTGTTGTGCAATGTGTCTGTATTTGTAGCTAATTAATAGTTAGTTTGTAGTAATTTGATTAAGTACAATGTTTAAAAATGTGTACCTTGTACTCTACAGTCCTTAAAACTACATTTTAAATCAGGTCCCTCTAAATGAATTGGCTTCAAGATTTAGTAATAATGCAAGTGAAGCCTTACGACCTGAATTTTAAGACCCCCAGCTATAGAGGACGTATATAGGAATAAGACATAAACATACATACATGTACAAGTAAGTATGTGTAGCATTCGTTTTACAATCACATATAACAAAATCCTAGTGGAGATGCACATAATCCTTCTTGCTTTATTGAAATTTTAAAGTTACAAGTTCCTTTTCGTTGTTACATCCATCAGTCTGAAAACACAAAAGCCCCATGAGAGCTTTAAAGAAAGTCATAATGTAAAACTATGCAGCTTCAGGAGACTCAAACCCCAGTGGTGGAAAAATATTCATACAAAATATAAATTAAAAACTTTCATTTCAGGCATCAAGGTATCACATCAAAAAAAAAATATTCCATGAGGAATGTAATTGTTTTGAATGGTCATGTTTGTGTCTTATATGTGACAGTTGAAAATTAACAATGTGTGAGAGACTTTCTGGTTAAGTAAAAGTTTAATAAACTCATAAATTATGATATACTAACAGATTACAAACTAGTATATAAAGTAGTTTATATACTTTGCAAGCATTAGTGATGCTTTTTATTTAAACTGTGGTAGGCCTATTACTTGTTTTACTAAAAGATCATCCAGACTGTCAAAATACTTCAGACATGATCTCAGTGGAAGTCTGGGGGAGGTGGAAGTCTTCATTTAAAAATGGCAGGAACTGTTATTTCGGTTTGACAAGTATTAACCCAAGATTTAGTGGTTGAAAGCTTCTCAAGAAATCTAGTGCGTGGGACTTGATCTTTTTTTACCCCACAAAACTATATGTTCCAAGGTAATAAGTGAATATTAGTGCACATATTTTTTTATATTCTAAGAGCATTACTGTTTAGAGCAGGTCTGGACGGAGTGGGCACGTCCTCTGAGGAGTTTTGCGTATGAATGACGAAACAGCCATGTCTGGCGGAAAGGTGTTCCGGCCTGCTGGGGAAACGAGCCGCCGCCGACTGATAAAGGAGCAATGAGCCGTCAAGCTCGACTCACACAGGACACGCATCTCACCTTCATAATAAAGGCGCGTGTTTAGGCTAAGTGTGTGCATATATATAGAGAGGCTAAAAAGATCTTTATAATGTCCAGTTTGTGTTGAAACAGTTTCTGAGAGGCGTTGATTCAACTGTATGATCATTTTGGAGGCTACAGTTTGAGCTGCTGTTGAGTTTTATTGTGTTGCAGGTGTTTTTCTTATTTTGTCCAACCCCAACCCAATTATATTAATGAGACTAGGCTAAATAATAGAAACACCTCTCTTTATAATTCAGTGCAGTTTAACAGCACAACAAAATTACCATAATGTTAATTCAGCACCTCTATGAAACAGTGGAGGATCTATTACATGACTGTTACAGGCTATTAGGCAGCATTATAATGAAAGTAATAGTCATATGTAGTAAACCTGGTTATTAAGATAAGATAAAATAAGATAAGACATTCCTTTATTAGTCCCACAGTGGGGAAATTTACAATTTTGGGGTCCCTAGGGTATGCGGCCCCTGAGCAGGTGTCTTCTCTGCCTGGTTGGTAATCCAGCCTTGGCCTGGGGATACCTGGATAAGAAACAAGAGTTGGGAAACAGAGAAAGAAACTGATGTATCTGAGTGACTTGAATATACTTTATGCTACGTTTGAATATAACGGTTGTCAGGAAGGAGTTTATTTTGAAAAGCTGTAACCGGAACTAGCTCTGTCCGCCGAATATAACTTGTCACTTTAGTAGAAAAAAAGAGGGGGGAGGTAAGTAATTATTTAGGGGGAAGAAAGAAAGAAACAAAGTTGTCGACCGTG